CCTTGGAACATAATTATTTTATGAGCTGAACCAAGATGTATCATAGTGATTGTGTTCTCCCAATTTGTAGGGTGGAAAAAAACTAAAGTACTAAATACATCAATCAAGGGTTTCCTCCCATAATTTTACAAAGCCTTTTGGACCCCCTAGCAAAAAAAAAAAAAAAAAAAAAAAATCATATGATATAACTAAATATATCAATATTTCATGATATTCTGCAATAGTAGCATGACTTCCAGGTGTTGTGACAATGAAACAAGTCTGAGAATAAATCAGTTTTAACATATTTTACTTTTTATCATAATTGTGTATGTACCATCTTTTAAACATCTTGAGAACAGAAACTGCCCCTCGAGTCCTAGCAGGTACTCAATAAATATTTTGTTAATTAAAATCCCTCATCCTTTCATCACTGCACTTAAAAGATTTTCTGAATCTTCTCTAAATAATGCGACTATTTTTTTTTTAAAATGGCAACTATAATAAATATAACTACATGGAATATCAAGCTATATAGCATTCTATAGTCTTAAACAAGAGACAAATCCAGATTCTATTACCAAAGGTACCCAATTTTTAAAGATTTATATTAAAAAGACAGAATTACAGAATCTAGTGAGGGTGAGGAGAGTCAGATTAGTAGGGAGAAAGAAGTATCTTGTTAAAATTCCCAATTAATTTCTGAGTGTTGATCTTAATTGAAAATAAGCAAGTCAGCAAAATTCAAATTTAACTCAGGAGGGGATTAAAATCAGTCTACAAAATTCAATTACTACTTTTACTGGGAAATCTCTATTTTTTTAATTTTTGAGGTTTCATGATGATGCTTTTGTACTCTCATCCCCAAGAAAAATGTTCTGCCAACTAAAAAGCAACTATAAAAAATAACCTTTAGCTCTACTTTTTAGTAAAGCCTGTTTACCCATGTACCATTTAACAGCAACTTAATAAAAAATAAAAAATAATTAAAAAAAATATATATTATATTCAAGCTTATTTTCACCAAAACATTATTTTAAATGACCAAAAAAAATTTTTGGTTCAGCTCTACTAGGATCACTGGTGATGCCTCTTCTATAACTACAATCTTTTAAAACCAGAAAAAGCCATCTTCTGACAATACAGCAATATTCTTTTTTTTTTTTTTAATCCTTACCCAAGGATATTTTTCCAGATAGAGTGGGAGGGAGCGAGCGAGCGAGCGAGCGAGAGAGACATGTTAATTGGTTGCCTCCCCAGTGACCCAACCAGGGCCAGGGACAGAACCACCACCAAGGTATGTGCCCTCAACCAGAATCGAACCTATGAGCAACTCTTTGGTCCGCGGGCTGATGCTCTAACCATGGAGCCAAATCGGCAAAGGCTAAAAATATAACTTTCTTAAGAATAGATGTTGTCTGTTTTAGTTCTAGTTATATTACAAAAAGTATATATAACATTGTTATATATTACTAATATGTATTGATACATTATTGTACTTATAAACTAGACACAGTGCTATTAAAAACACCACACAAAGCCAAAAATTAAAATTAAAAAGAATAAAATAAAATAGAATATATTGAAGTTGTAATATTTTCTTTCTGCACCCCAATCAATCATCCTGCATATCTCCTGGGATGCAGACACTACTCTGGAGATCATACTGTAGCCACACAGAAGTACCTACAATGCCCAGAAACACTATACTGTTTCATGCCTTGCATTCATTGAAGTTCAGCATTCTGGAATACCCATTTCAAACTCTCCAAAAAACCCCCAGTAGCAATATTCAACTTCAAGCATCAGTTCAAGTGTAAACTTCTATATGATATCTTGTAACTGCTATAGTCTCTTTCCCCTTTCTCCTTCTTCTCAATTGCCATCCCTAGGATTCTCCCCTCCCCTTCAGATTTAGGTCTCCTTCCTTTTAAATTTCTCTTGAACCCTGTTTATATATTCATTACAGAATCATTATCTTTTTTAAATCATTGTTTCCTGAATCAACTATAAACCATTTAAGAGCAGAGCTCTTTTGAACCCAGGGACTTGAATGTCTAGTTCTGGCAGCTACTCTCATATACAACCAACTAACCTAACCTAACACTCTCAGCACAGATGAAGAAATCGAGATTCAAATTATATAATGAGGACAAAGTACTAATGCCGTTGGGCTACTCTATAGTAATGATAATATAGCATCCTTTTTATCTAACGGAATTTGTTTCGTGCTCACTAAAAGTCTCATTAGTATATAAAGAAGTAAAGTTCTCCTTTCTCTAAATTTGCAAATAAGAGTTAATTCAATATCTAACAAATATATACCAGAAGACAAAAGAAAACTTAAATGAACCCTGACAAGGTGGCTCAGTTGGTTAGAGCATTGTCCCCATACATCAGGGTTGTGGGTTCAATCCCCAGTCAGGCACATATAAGAATCAACCAACGAATGCATAAATAACTGGAACAGAAAACTGATGTTTCTCTCTCTCTAAAAGATAATAAAAAAACAAAACAAACAACACTTAAGTGATAATATCTACATGATTGTTTTTTTATTACAAAAATATCACATACACTTATTTACAAATAAGGTATATGAGTCTCCTATCTGCTAAAAATTATGGACAGTTTAAAGCATAATATTGCTCTGGAACATATATATATCCTAATTGCATTCCGAAGAGTTGCAAACTATGCTTTTTCTCAAAGTTGGGCCCACTCAAGTCATTTATTGAGCAATATACTCAGATTTTAGGCTAGTACATAAAAAGAAATGATTTCCTAGTATCAACAAGTGTGGTCTGGCAAACCTATTACATACAAAATGTTTACATAAACCAAACACAAAGTGAGAGACTCGAAACTATCTGTTTGAGACCATATTACTTTTTGCTACTAAAATGCAAGAATTTTATCTCTCCTGGAGTAATAAGAAATATATTATGTTTACAAACAGAATGCTTTAAGTTTAATTTCTAAGTAAGGATGCTATTAAATCATATCAAAACGAGCATTAGCCACTGGGAATGATTCTAACCATTTAGAAATTTACCTTTATGTGAAAGAGAAATAGTCTCCCTGCTCTTCTGTGATAATTAAAAAATTATTTATTATACACACAATGCTTTGAAAATACCTCTAATTTATTCAAACCTATATACTACTTCTTAGCACTTTCATACAGCCATTATCTTGCCTCATTTTAAATACTGTTTCTACATCTGTAAAACTGGATGCTTGGATTAGATTAAATCTATGGTTCCTTCCAGGTCTAAAATCTTGTGACATCAATTTGGCGTATACTTAAAAATAACAACATGTGTATGGATTGTTTTTTATGTCAGTCATAATTACAAAGCACTGTGGAGTCAAGGGTAACAAACATACAAGTATAGTGTCACTAAAAAAGTATAAAAGTAATTTAGAAAACAAATTTGTGAATAATTATTCTGTTACCAAATAATTCTACTTTATGAAAGGATTTGATTTGAGGTTCCTTAGTTTGTTTATTTTTAATCCTCACCTGAGGATATTTTTCTATTGCTTTCTAGATAGAGTGGAAGGGAGAGAGGGGAAGAAAGAAAGGGACAGAGAGAAAAACACCTATGTGTTCTCTCACATTGATTGGTTGCCTCTGGCATGACCCCAATGGGGGCAGGGATCACATCTGCAGGCCCTTGACTAGGAATGAACCCAAGACCTTTCGGTCTGAGGGTGGACGCTTTAATTTCTGGGCCAAACTGGCAAGGGCAAGGTTCCTTAGTTTAAATATAGCTTCCCTAATGAGTCAAGCACTGTTAACTACTTTTTTCAATGAAAGAAGTCACTGATTGTGGCGAAAACAGCATATAGAAGCCAGGGACAACTTAGATTTAAAAATAAATCAAGGACCAAAAAATTAACACAACTTTTCAGGGGCTAGTCCATAAAAACACTAGTACAATGCCCAGTTTCAGATATGAGGAAAATATTTATTTTATTCAACTACTACTATAATGATTAACATTTATATTGGACTCACTATGGGACTGGCACTGTTGACTTTGCATTTACTCATTTAATCCTACAGCAACCCCATGAGGTACGTACTATTTTTATCCCCATTTTAAGGATGAAGAAACTAAAGTCAAAAAAGTAAAGTGACTCGTTCACTTCAACTAGTAAAGAGCCAAACTACTATCCAACTACTTTATCCAACAATAGTCGATTATTTTCCTGTTCCTAAAAAATTGCCACTTGAGAAATTAATTTGGCTTGTATAAATTATATAATTATAAGTTAATATGTTTATTTTAGCAGCTTCCATTATTTCCTCTTACTAAATTAAAATAAGTGACATAGACATATGAGTGGAGTACACCAACAACAGCATGTTGCCACCTGAATTGCCTATGGTTTGTGGTAGAATAAATACAAATATCTAAACGTTTTAACAATTTTGCATTGATGGGCCCACTATTACAAAATTCAGTCTCCTCAGAAAAGCTGATATAAAAGGTCAGTAGTACGCCAGAGTAATCATGAACCATTTGATAACGCCATAAATCTCCGATGGCCAATATGGGTAGAAAAACGATACTATTTTTTTAATGGTTTGAAACAATCATCTTTTTACGTGACCTAAATTATTTTTCTAATGACATTTCATCCTAAAAACGTTTTAAATTGTCATGCTAAAACAGTCTGAAACTTTCCATCCCACTAAAACTTTTCCTCTGCCTACCCCTATAATTCTTCCTCCGGGCACCATTTCACTTTACATCTACAAACTTTACCTTTGGCTCTGGCCTCGGCTTCCTTCTCAGCTTCTTTTCATCTGGGCGCTGGGTTCCCTCACCCACACCCACCACACCCCTGCGGGCCCCCGCCCAGAGCTGCTGCTCCTCCCAGGGTTCTCCAGCACCGACTCAGCACCTATCAGCGGCGCCCCCCGGCCCCTGGCCCAACCCATCCTCGGACACGTGTGAGGGTGTGTTTGTGTCAGTCCGCCAGTCCCACCTGGGACGGGGCTCACTTACCGAGAGAGAAGCGCCAACTTCTGCTCGAGCATCATCTCCAGCTTCTGGCCTTGTCTGGAGATCCAATGGTCCACTCCATGCAGGCGGTAGCACGTCTCCAGCATCGACCTGAAGTCCGCCACGAACTCGGTGATGCCCCCGTACTGGCCGCTACTGAACTTCTCCTCCATCTTCAGCAGACACATGCCCTGCCCGGGCTGCTGAGACAGGGAGCGACTTCCTCGGCCCCCGCTGCGCGGCCCCTCAGCCACCTCCTCCTCCCCAGTGGCAACGCCCCCGAAGGGCTGCAGGAAGGGGGCGGTGAGGCCCCGGTGCTTCTCCTGCAGGAACTCGCCCAGGATGCGGTAGCCCTGCTGCAGCTCGTAGTTCAGCTCTTGCTCCTTGCAGCCACCGCCCCCGACCACCATCGCCTCCTCCGTGTCCTCCTCCTCCTCCTCCAGGTTGTCTGCGTCTTCCTGCGAGGAGGCACTCCTCCCTCGGGCCGGCCCTGAGGCCGGGGCCGCCACTGCCACCTCCTCCTCGTCCTCTTCCTCGGCTGCCGGTGGCGGTCGCTCCTCCTCTCCGGCCGGCTCCATCTCCCCCGGCGTCTTGGGCACGCTCATGCCCCCGGCAGGACCAGGTTGGGCGATGTGGGGCGGCCGCTCGAGGCGCCGGGGGACGCGTGAGCGCGGGCCGCCTCCTCAGGGCTCAGCCTCACCGCGCAGCCCCAGCCGCATCGGCCCTCGCTCTCCTCAGCAGCCGGCTCGGCTCGGTGCGCGCGGGGGTCTCAAGCTCGCCGCCAGCGGGGCGGGGTTACATGGCGCGCGGGGGATGGGGGAGAGAAGAGGAGAGCTTAGGTGCCCTCCTCTCCCCTCCCCCCGGCGGCGGCGCGCGCGCGGCCCTCGCCTGCTTCAACCCTCCGCGCCCCGCCCGCTCTTCACCCGCCTGGAGGGGCCTGGCCGCCGCGGCCTCGGCGCCCCACCCCCTCCCGGGCCGGCTAAGGGACTGGGAGGGGGCGAGGACGAAGTGGGGTTCTCCTCTCGCCTCCCCGGAGGAGGCCGCAGCGCTGGGCCGCGGCAGCTCGGGCTCCTCCTCCTCCTCTCCCTCACACCCCCTCCCGCCCCTCTCTACCTGCGGGGGACCCGGGCAAAAAGGAGGCGGCGCGCGGACCGAGCCCGGCGACAACTGTCAGTTAGAAGCCCCGCCGGGTGGGGGTGTGGAGGGAGGGGCTGGTAGAGGAGGGAGGGCACTTAGTTCCCCACTTCCCCCCCACCACTGGGGAGAGCTGTGGAAAGGCAAAGAAAGAGGCACCGTCGCCATCCACGGTGCGCTTGCGTATTAAAGCAATCCCACCCCCTTCGCGTCCCGCCCCGCTGCGCGACAGCAAGGACTTAGGTTTAGCTACAGGTCCCTAGGTCTGGTAGGTTGCGCGCACCAATGATGTCATCAGCTTGGAGACTGTAAGGAGCAAGGCGCCTGCGCAGCTTTACTCAGTAACCGCAGAAAGAGTCGCCGAAGGGCTTTTAAAAAGCAAGTGCTGCAGGAGAATATTTCTTTTGCGAGAGACCCTTACTAGCCCTGAAAACTAAAATTAATCCAGAAGGAGCTTGCTAAATAACTTGCTAATAGTAAATGAAAACTGGGAAGGCACAAACTGTAAATCCTGTCCTATGGTAAAATTTACATTTTCTCTGCATACAGCCTCTCCCTTGTGACTGCCGGGTTCTAAATATAAAACTAGAATTTTGAGAAGTGTAAAAAAGAGGTTCAAGAACTCAGCTAACTGAAACATAAGTCCACGTGCAAGAGAAAAGGAGATGGTTTGTAGAATTCGGATTTCTGAAACTCCTGTCTCTAGTACTTAACATCAATGCCTATCTTGGAAACTAACCTCAGATTTTTCTTTAAGAGGAAAAAACAGCCTAGCCGGTATGGCTCAGTGGATTGAGGTGGTCCCAAGGACTGACAGGTCCCAGCCAGGGCACATGCCTGGATTGTGGGATCCATCCCTGGTAGGGGGTGTGCAAAAGGCAGCCACTGATGTTTCTCTCTCTCTAAAAAAATCAATAAAAACATTTTAAAAATGAAAATTTTAAAAAATGAAAAAACATATTTCCACATTCTTTATTCTTGTGATATGTTAGGAATAAAAGATGGACTAGAACCTCATTAAAAAATATCCTTGGGACTAAAAATTTTCAGCTATTTTAAGTCTAAGCTGTATAGCATTAGATATTAAAGTCATTAGCGTGGACTTACCAATCTCACAACATTGTGTAGATGCCTAAAAGTGAACCCTCCTTTAACATTAATTTACAAATTACTTAAAAGTAAACCAGCAGAAAGGAACTAACGGTTTCATAAAGCAGACATTACTATTTTCTCATGTTCTATTTGAAAGATGTATATAATACTTTCTAGTTAGAACAAGAAATGAAGCATTTTTTAAAGTAAGTGCTATAGCCCTGGCCGGTTGCTCAGTGGTTAGAGCGTCTGCCCACCGACCAGTCGCAGGTTTGATTCCAGTCAAGGGCACCTACCTTCAGTTGCTGTTCCTCCCGGCCCAGATTTGGGTCATGCAGGAGGCAACCAGTAGATGTTTCTCTCTTCCCCCACCTCCCTCCCACTCTATCCGAAGATAGAAATTATCCTCAGGTGAGGATTAAAGAATAATAATAGTAAAGTAAATGCTATATAACTAAATGGTCAGATATTCTGACTCTTGAGCTAGTTTCTCATCAATGTAGACTTTTAAAGACATTTGCAGTTTATTAGGCACTTACAGCATTCTCTCCTCAGAGCCTATAGATGTACAGGAACAAAGGCAGGGAACTACTTCAGCAACTGGCAACCGAAAAGTGTGTCCGACTGGGCATCCCTCATTTCCTTTGACAAAGCCCAAGAATCTGAACCCACCCTACACCAACAAATAACCCCCTTCCTCTTTAGCCACCAACCCTGTTTCAGGACTCCGATATTAACTTGCATTTGTTAAACCTTGTACTAAACACTTGATATTCATTATCTCCTTTAATTCTTATAACAATCCTATCAGCTAGATATTATGCCTATTTTACAGATAAAGAAATTGATGCTTAGGTTAAGAAAGTAGTTTGTCAAATTTCAAATCTGGGTCTGTTATACTTCAAAATTCTCTAGGGACCTAATTCCTAGCCATCTGGCAGAATTTCCAATTCTGCATGCACAAGAGTGTAGGAAATTGCAAGAAATGTTAATCAAGGGCTTCTTAATTAAGAAAAGTATGGCCCTGGCCGGTTTGGCTCAGCAGTTAGAGCGTCAGCCTGCGGTCCAGAGAGACCTGGGTTCGCTTCCCACTAGGGGCACCTACCTCGGTTGCAGTTTGTCCCCGGCCCTGGATGGGTCATGTCGGTGGCAGCCACTTGATGTGTCCCTTTCACATCGATGTTTCTCTCTCTCTCTCTCTCTTCCTCTCTTTCCCTCCCACTCTATCTGAACAAAAAATGGAAAAATGTCCTCGAGTGAAGATAAAAAAAATTAAAAAAAAAAAAAGTATGGCTGACTTGCGGGAACTTTAGCTATAGGTCGGAGAGGCCAAGATGATTGCAATCAGGTCCTTGAAACTAATATACCTATACGTGTGTGTGTGAAATACATTGGTTGTAGGCAAATTACAAAATATAGATGAGTGAGTTTCAAGAAAAACTGTTATTGAATCCCACTACCCAGAGAAAACCTCTACTAACAACTTTGTGGTGGGATTTTTCTATTTATTCATCTACATCTTTTTATTTATCTCAAACTTAAAATTGTGACTATACTTAATGTCTTTTTCTTTTTTCCCTCATTGATAATAAATAATTGTACATAATGGACAGGTATTCACCTTCATATCTCTGACCAGTGGCCTAGCTGGTCTGCTTATCTGAACTGGTAGGGGGTGAATCAGGGATATTCTAATGTAAAAGGCATTCCTAACCATAAAAAAGAACACAGTAGAAGTACAAACAACAACAATAATAGCTACCATTTATTAAGCACTTACTAGTACTTGCTAAATACTTTTTATATACACAGTACTCACAATAATGCCAGGAAGTCATGGCAGATGAATTTTTAAATTGTGGATCAATTTTTTGCTGAGTAGAAAGCTTTTTCTACCCTACAAAAACTTGACATTAAAGACTGACATTCCAATTAATATAATTAACCCTAGATTTCTAGAACTGTTTTCTTATAATGCACATCTAATGCTAAATGACTGGTCTCAAAGCTGTTTCCTTTTTTATATTTAAAGATAAAATTAATTTTGCTTCCCTTTCATTTTCACAATACTCTTTAGTGCTACTATAGAATCTATTAAGAACTTCAGAATAGAAGTCTGCATAAGCTTCACTTTAAATCAGGAATTCTCTTCCTGTTAAGCTGCTTGTAGGGGGAAAATAGCATACATTCATAATACAATATTCTGCTCAAACACATAACATTGATTCCCACAAATATTGATTACTTTCCATTTTTCAAAGACTGTGGTATTACAGTATGTTATATGCTACCAATGTTAGATGTCAAGATACAATTTTCAGTAAAGATGGTTCCTGTTGTCCTGGATAACTTAACAAATAGAGACCAATCTGGCTAAGAAAATTCTAGTTCTCATAACTCTCAGCTGGACACCATGGGAAGTAGAATTTGGGTATGTTTCACCCAGTTTTAAGGAAGGCATTATGAAAAAGTTCATATACATTATAGAGAAAACTCCCCACACCCACGGCAATATCTCAAAACTCCTAATTTCAGCATCCTCCTATTACTATGGAAACCAGTAATATTATCAAGAAGGAATAAGCCTGTCCACTATATTCTTCACTCGTAATTCCAAAGATGTTTGTCCTGGAAGTTCTATCCTAACTTTGTGAGCTCTTAGCATCCTGTGATAGGCAGCATGACATCTTGACACCAAGTACAATGCTTGTGCAGCATCAATAATTCAAACAAACAGCAACAATTTGTATACTTCACATCAACTAGGGGAAAGGTGACAAACATTCTAAGACAATGGAAGCACAGATTATCACCAAGATCAGTGTTTAAGAGATGAAACATGCAAGGTGAACAGAAGGCTATAACACTGACATCCTGGAGAAACATGGGGAATACAAACTGCTTTGCAGGGAAGGAACAGTTCTTTCAATTATAATGAAATCCATTTGTAACACTTATTTGGAGTTATTTTTATGGTAAAGGACATTCAAGTGATATTAAAGTGCTTCAAGCAAAATTCAGCAATTCCTGTAAGGCTTCCTGATGCTCATCATCAAGTTGGGATATACATTCCAACCACAGTTCTTCAGAAGTCTGTACCTGACGCACAACGTTAGCTAGGCGTTTGGCACAAGGATCTTCATAGTTAATAGTCTCATTAATTTTTCCTTCTGCAATTATATTGATTATTTTGGGAAGATTGGAATTATTTGTACCAAGTACAACTGGGTGGTTATTTTCAATTAAGTCACATAGAAAACTAAAAGTCTGAATAGCTTCCTCTTTATCCTCATGTAGTGGAAGCCATGACAACCAGTGTGGAAGAATTTCATCTACATTTACACAGTTAGGTTTAAACTTCAAAATCTTGCCTACTGCTGAGATACAATTCTCTGTAGCAATGACATTTTTTTTGGTTTTGGAATTTGCACACTTAATAACTTTCACCAGCAGTGGAACAGCTTCTGAACATAAAGAACGATAATCATCTCCACCAAACTGTGCCATAACACCCAGGCCATAAGCAGCAGCTTGCCTGACTTCAGGGTTGTTATCTCGCATATTTAGTAGCATTGGCCACCTAAAGTATTCTACATATTTAAATGAGGTGGGACTACAGTGCTCTATAATATCATCAAATATACACAATCCCCACTGTCTGTCAGGCCATGGCCTACTAGAACAAATTAGATTTACAATTAATGGAAGCAGCTGTTCAAACCATGGTAAAATCTTTTCCTTGTAAGTACTAAATAATGAGTGCAAAATATCTGATACTTTGGTCAAAATGTAAACATCACATTCATCTTCATCTTGCAAGGACATTTCAACTTGCTGGTCATAGTTTTCTTCCTGTCTTTTAACCTGTCTCAATTCTTGGTTTTTAAAGTGCCCTTCAAGTTTTGCTTTCAGTATTTCTCCCAGTTCTTCCAAGTGTTCATCACTAAGGCAGCCATCTCCCATTACTTCAATAGACTTTGCAAAAGAACTCATTATTTCTGAGAGTACATCAGTATCAGGTTCAGTCCCAATAGCCTTGATTAAGGGATCACATATGAATTGCCACATCTGTGCAAGATACTCTGGGC